ATTACATTACCTAACAGAATACTCCATTCTACTGAATACACAGCAACACGGTAAATGACCATATGACCTGTCTTTGAAATATTCATTTGTGCTTAATTGTTATCTGTTTACAATAATGTTTTACCACTGAATATATCATTGCTTAGTTAAACTTAAGTTAATTTTAAGCCTGCCAATAATGCTCTGCATACAAGGGCTGCACTTAACAATTGTATATTTTTTTGCACTGCTTTGTATCATGTTCAAATAAATAAATAAATAAATAAATAAATAAATAAACAAAGTGTGATGGTGGTGGTGGCCAAAGCCTCCACCGCCACTGACACGGCTTCTCTCAGTGGCGGCCCTTAAACCCAACAACAACACTTACACCATTTACTCCTCTCATATGTTATGACATATTTTATTCATTCCAGAGTATATATCATGTTTCTATGTTATTAATATTGTTTATAATGCCATATTAGATGAATTGTGATAGATAAATAAGCCGTAGAGATGATATTAGCGTCATATTGAAGCATAATAAACTCGCCTTCCTCTTACCTCCTGCCTACCTCCTACACCAACAAGAATCAATAAAGGTTAAGTGTGATGTTAAATGTTCATTTATCCATTTTATTAGTGCTTTACATTTATTTGTCATTGTTTTCTGTATGTAAATCTATATTTAATCTTTAAACAAATTATTTTTTGTTAATACTTTTGGCTGTATAAATTGGATTAATTGGGTTTCCATTATTTCTTATGGGGAAAATAAATTCGCCAATTGTGAATTTCGCCACTCGGCAGACTCTCTGGAACGGATTAATCACAAAACTCGGGGGTCCACTATATACCAGAAATGTTATAAATAGTGCAAAGGCAACATTAAATCAATATCAAAAATGGTTGACACACTCACAACCATTATAGTATGCTCCTCACTTAGCGACGAATTTGATAAACGACGTGATCTTACGAACGGAACTCTGTCGTTAAGTGAGGAGAGGCTGTACACACTTGTACAGACAGTATCATACATGCACGCACTGTAACATGAACTCAGCTTGAGATATAGCACATCCTTAACCCTTTGACTGTTTTGGTAGTATATATACGTCTTATGAGCCACCGTTTTTGACGTATATATACTCATAAATTCTAGTGGCTTTAAATCAAGCAGGAGAAAGCTGGTAGGCCCACATGTGAGAGAATGGGTCTGTGTGGTCAGTGTGCACCATATAAAAGAAATCCTGCAGCACGCAGTGCATAATGAGAAAAAAAAACTCTGGCCGTTTTTTTTTTAATTAAAATGCCGACTTTGTGGTCTATTTTTGTATAGTATTTATGGTTGTATTCTTGTTTTCTTGGTCTCATTTGATAGAATGGAAAATATATTATAGAAATAGAGGTGATTTTGATTGGTTTTACTATGAAAAGAACCTTGAAATGGAGCTCAAAGTAGAGGAAATGTTTGATTTTTGCCGATGATCAAAAGTAAACAAATGATGTCATTTTCCAATAAATGTCCAAGTAGCCATTCTGATATGCAGTCATGAATGGGTTGACATTATTTATACAATTATTACAATATTGCAGTAGTCTGCATAACAGTAAATCTTCTATTTTTTGTTTGAGTAAAAATTCAAAATAAAAAGCAAGAGTAATATCAGAGGGGCCTGGAGACGTGACTGATGAACAAAGAAAATGTTATTTTAGAGCCAGGAATGTCTGCATTGTTGATTCTGGACCCTATTTTGAAATTGTCATATTTTTTTAATTTTCGTGAAATTGGCAAAATTGCAAATTTCTGACCACGTTATTGGGTAGTTGAAATCAGCAAATGGGCAGTTTCTTGTACTCAATCGATAGAAAAAATGGAGTTCTAAAAAAAATAGCTACGAATTTGGTCGACTGGAGCAATGGAATTAGCCGAAAAGAGGACTGAAAGTGGGTGAAATCACCAATTCGTAAATATCGCCGAGGTCGCTAACTTTGCAAGAGCGTAATTCCGTCAGTTTTCCATCAAATTTAGTTCTTTTGGTGTCATTACAATTGGGAAACGATTCTCTATCATTTCATAAGAAAAAATAATTTTTTTTTTTTTAAATTTTGCAACACTAGGAGACACCTCAGGATTTGGGGTTGCGACAGTCAAGGGGTTAAATAGTGTCATCTTACATGTTCATGAGACAAAGAAATGATTAGTGGTCCAGCCAGGGTGCAGAACTTTTAGCAGGCTTCTGTTTCATGCTCAAATGACAGCATGGTAGTACTGTACCAACCTACTGCCAAATGAAGCAGTTTTATTGTATACACAGGGAATTTTGAAGTGCCATGAACTGAAGATATTGAGATCTTTAATTGAAATGTATTTAGAAAGAGGTTTGGTAATAGGCATTACATATTTTAAGAAGATAAATATACTAGGTATAATTGAGTTACAAGAGCAGTGTGGTGTCAGTCTGTAGAAGAGCAGTGAAAGTAAATGAACTAAAAGAGACAGGTATGAGAAACTCATGAGAGACAGATGGGTTGAGGTAAGAGAATATTGAGAAATTTGAAGAAGTATGATAAAGACGTAAGAATGAAGTAATAGTATGTGTAGTAATGATTTGTGGTTATAGAAGGGAAGAAGAATAGCTGCTAGAATAATAAGGTAAGAAGGGTGATAAGGGAGAAAGAGTAATCATATGTAAATGTTTACAGTGTAAAAATTAGGTAAGCAGAGCAGAGGAAAAAACACCTTGAAATACATTCATTGTCCTAACATTGTATGTTATGCAAAGTAATGCTGACATTATCTGCAGGTAATTTTTATGCCACTGTCAACACGCCATAAAACTGGATGTTTTAGTTTTCTTTTTCGTAGTTCTTTTTTTTAGAAACCTAGGCTCTTCCATTCAATAAGAAACATGATTTTCAAAGTTGTGCCACATAGGAATTTTTATTTCTGGATCTGCCACAGTCTAAGGGTTAAAGAGTGGTGAGAATAAACAATTTTAGAGAGAGAGATAAAAATTAAAAAAGCTTGGGAACCAAGGGACTCCATAATTAAGAATATGAGTGGTGTGATATTGGATGGGAAAGTGGAGGTAATGAAGAGATGGTGAGAATATTTTTGAGTAGTTGTTAAATATTGGTGTATGAGAGGCTGTGATTTCATGTGTGTAGCAATGAGGAATAGGAACTATTAGGAGGATGGAAAAGGTGACGGTGAGCATGGAGGAAGCAGATGAGGCAGTGGGCAAGATCAAAGGAAGTTACAGAAGTGGGGATGGGTGGTGTTAAGACTGATAGTTTTAGCATGGCTGGTGCATTTGTTCAATACTGTTCAGTATAGCTATAAAATAAAGGAAGGTACCTAAAGACTGGCAGAGCATATATAATTTTTTTGTATAAATAAAATGGGGGCAATAAAGAGTATAAGAAATACAGAGTATAATGGATAGTCTACAGCAGAATTATTATGGAGAGAAATAAAAAGAAAACAATAAAATTAGGATTACAGAGTCAGTTTAGGTAGGGAAGAGGATGTGTTTATCAGGTGTTCACAGTTAAGCATATCCTATGAGTGAGAAATACTTAGATAAGAGTAAGATGTTTCTCACATTTTTTACTTTGGAAAAAGCATATGATAGGGTGGATTTATTTTAAGTTTCTTTGTTTCATTCTGGAATATTTTTTAATAATTTTAAGTATGGTATTGTACTATAAACACACAGGTATACTAATGAGGAAAATTAAAATGGGACAGAGGGAAAGGCTGTAAATAGATTTGGACAAACTGCCAGATTGCCTAGATAAATGGCTGCCTGATATCATCCCAGTAAATGTAGAATTGAGCAGGAGCCAGAAAATCAGACAAGGAGAATGGACTCTATGGACAGAGGTTGCAGACCTCACTCAAAGAGAAAAACTTACAGATGAGCATAGTGTCTAATGTATTGCCAGAGGCTCGTATCAACCAAATAACCTCTGCAGTCACTGCTCATCTGGCAGATCTAAGAGTGGCCTTTAGGTATTTTAGCAAAGAATCATTCCAGTTCCTTTATGCAACATATATCAGCTCATTACGAAACTGAAGAAAACGCAAAGGTATGCAACGAGGCTAGTACCAAGGCTAAGGGGTATGAGCATGGAGAAGCTAACAGAATTGAATCTAAGGACAGAAGAGCCAGGGAAAATTAACACTATGCCAAATATTCAGAGGAATTGATAGGGTAGATAAGGCAAATGAGCCACTAGGATGTTAACAAGTACAGTATTTCTTTAGTCTAACTCAGGGTAGTTGGGAAGTGGAATGACCTTGACAGAGAAATGGTGGAGGCAAGAGACATACATTGTTTCAAGAGCAGGTACTATAGGGCCCATGAGGCTAGGAGGAAATGAATCCTTCAAGAGGCAAGTCGAGAGGCAGGACCAGGAGCTAAATTTTGACTACTGTAATCACACATAGGCAAGTACACATTCATTTGAAAACATGTACACATTATGTATTCCTCAGGATTTAACATTATGTGCAGCACATTGTACAGGTGGGAAGGTTCTGCAGGTCTGAGGATGTGAGAGGGAAAATGATGAAGGGAGAGTGGAGGAAAAGGGAAAACAGGAAAGGAACAGGGGATATAGGAAAGAATGGAAGGGAAAGTGATGAAGGTTAGGTGGATGGAAGGGGTAGAAGAAGGGGAAGGAAGAGAGGGATAATCATCATTTGATTTCTAGAATAGTAATATAATTGAGAGTGTCAGGAGATATACTGGAATACCACCCTTGATCTCCTTATTGTTATCAAGGCAAATCTAATTTGTTTCCCTTACTGCGAGTAGAAGAAAAAAATGCTTATTACTTCTATAACTATCTGTCATAGATTTTTTCCTATAAAATGTATATGATCAAAGGAATCTTTGACTGAAATATTTTGCTTGTACCATTGTTTTGAACAGAGGACTTGCTGAATACATAAAACTGGACACTGTCAACAGACATGTGTCAGTATATATAATTATTTATTTCAGGTGCTGGTATTGACTCCTATTTTGAATATCTTGTAAAAGGAGCAGCTCTTCTGCAGAAACCTGAGTTAATGGCCATCTTTATTGAGGCTAGAACTGCCATAGATAAATACCTCCACCATGAAGACTGGTACTTGTGGGCTACAATGACTAAAGGATATGTAACAATGGCAGTTTTTCAGTCCCTTGAAGCCTATTGGCCTGGTGTGCTTGCTCTATTAGGTATGTTATTTTGCCTGACATATACAGTAGTTAATTCCCTTATATTATACAGTTTTGCTCCTCTTCTTTTCTTTTCTTAGATATACAGCACTGTATTCATGAAATTATTATTATTATTATAATCAAGGGGGAAGCGCTAAATTAAGTCTATCTTAGGTTTTTGAATGGGAATGTAGATTTTAAGAACTATATTCTTGGTCTATAATGTTCTTTCTTCTTTCAACAAACCAGCCGTATCCCACCGAGGCAGGGTGGCCCAAAAAGAAAAATGAGAATTTCTCTTTAAATTTAGTAATGTATACAGGAGAAGGGGTTACTAGACCCTTGCTCCCAGCATTTTAATTGCCTCTTATGACATGAATGGCTTACAGAGGAAGAATTTTTTCCACTTTCCCATGGAGATTAAAGGAAATAAACAAGAACAAGAACTAATAAGAAAATAAAAAAAACCAGAGGGGTGTATATATATCTTTCTTTCTTTCAACACACCAGCCGTATCCCACCGAGGCGGGGTGGCCCAAAAGGAAAAACAAAAGTTTCTCCTTTTACATTTAGTAATATATACAGCAGAAGGGGTTACTAGCCCCTTGCTCCCGGCATTTTAGTCGCCTCTTACAACACGCATGGCTTACGGAGGAAGAATTCTGTTCCACTTCCCCATGGAGATAAGAAGAAATAAACAAGAACAAGAACCAGAAACAAAATAGAAGAAAACCCAGAGGGGTGTGTATATATATGCTTGTACATGTATGTGTAATGTGACCTAAGTGTAAGTAGAATTAGCAAGACATACCTCAAATCTTGCATGTTTATGAGACAGAAAAAAGATAACAGCAATCCTACCATCATGTAAAAAAAAAAAAGTAAGAGTGCATGAAAAATATTGATTCTCAGCATTTTTCTAACAATGTTGTTGAATAAGTTGCAGGAAAAAATGAGACATTGTAAAATATGCATACATTTTTTTTTTTTTTTTTTTTCAACAAGTCGGTCGTCTCCCACCGAGGCAGGGTGACCCAAAAAAAGAAAGAAAATCCCCAAAAAGAAAATACTTTCATCATCATTCAACACTTTCACCACACTCACACATTATCACTGCTTTTGCAGAGGTGCTCAGAATATAACAGTTTAGAAGCATATACGTATAGAGATACACAACATATCCCTCCAAACTGCCAATATCCCAAACCCCTCCTTTAAAGTGCAGGCATTGTACTTCCCATTTCCAGGACTCAAGTCCGACTATATGAAAATAACCGGTTTCCCTGAATCCCTTCACTAAATATTACCCTGCTCACACTCCAACAGATCGTCAGGTCCCAAGTATCATTCGTCTCCATTCACTCCTATCTAACACGCTCATGCAAGCTTGCTGGAAGTCCAAGCCCCTCACCCACAAAACCTCCTTTACCCCCTCTTTCCAACCCTTTCGAGGACGACCCCTACCCCTCTTTCCTTCCCCTATAGATTTATATGCTTTCCATGTCATTCTACTTTGATCCATTCTCTCTAAATGACCAAACCACCTCAACAACCCCTCTTCTGCCCTCTGACTAATGCTTTTATTAACTCCACACCTTCTCCTAATTTCCACACTCCGAATTTTCTGCATAATATTTACACCACACATTGCCCTTAGACAGGACATCTCCACTGCCTCCAACCGTCTCCTCGCTGCTGCATTTACCACCCAAGCTTCACATCCATATAAGAGTGTTGGTAATACTATACTTTCATACATTCCCTTCTTTGCCTCCATAGATAACGTTTTTTGACTCCACATATACCTCAACGCACCACTCACCTTTTTTCCCTCATCAATTCTATGATTAACCTCATCCTTCATAAATCCATCCGCCGACACGTCAACTCCCAAGTATCTGAAAACATTCACTTCTTCCATACTCCTCCTCCCAAATTTGATATCCAATTTTTCTTTATCTAAATCATTTGATACCCTCATCACCTTACTCTTTTCTATGTTCACTTTCAACTTTCTACCTTTACACACATTCTCAAACTCATCCACTAACCTTTGCAATTTTTCTTTAGAATCTCCCATAAGCACAGTATCATCAGCAAAAAGTAACTGTGTCAATTCCCATTTTGAATTTGATTCCTCATAATTTAATCCACCCCTCTCCCGAACACCCTAGCATTTACTTCTTTTACAACCCCATCTATAAATATATTAAACAACCATGGTGACATTACACATCCCTGTCTAAGACCTACTTTTACCGGGAAGTATTCTCCCTCTCTTCTGCACACCCTAACCTGAGCCTCACTATCCTCATAAAAGCTCTTTACAGCATTTAGTAACTTACCACCTATTCCATATACTTGCAACATCTGCCACATTGCTCCTCTATCCACTCTATCATATGCCTTTTTCTAAATCCATAAATGCAATAAAAACTTCCCTACCTTTATCTAAATACTGTTCACATATATGCTTCAATGTAAACACTTGATCTACACATCCCCTACCCACTCTGAAACCTCCTTGCTCGTCCGCAATTCTACATTCTGTCTTACCTCTAATTCTTTCAATTATAATCCTACCGTATACTTTTCCTGGTATACTCAGTAAACTTATTCCTCTATAATTTTTACAATCTCTTTTGTCCCCTTTCCCTTTATATAAAGGGACTATACATGCTCTCCGCCAATCCCTAGGTACCTTCCCCTCTTTCATACATTTATTAAACAAAAGTACCAACCACTCCAACACTATATCCCCCCCTGCTTTTAAAATTTCTGTCATGATCCCATCAGTTCCAGCTGCTTTACCCCCTTTCATTCTACGTAATGCCTCACGTACCTCCACCACACTTACATTCTGCTCTTCTTCACTCCTAAAAGATGGTATACCTCCCTGGCCAGTGCATGAAATTACCGCCTCCCTTTCTTCCTTAACATTTAAAAGTTCCTCAAAATATTCTCGCCATCTACCTAATACCTCCCTCTCCCCATCTACTAACTCCCCTACTCTGTTTTTAACTGACAAATCCATACTTTCCCTAGGCTTTCTTAACTTGTTTAACTCACTCCAAAATTTTTTCTTATTTTCATTAAAATTTCTTGACAGTGCCTCTCCCACTCTTTCATCTGCTCTCCTTTTGCACTCTCTCACCACTCTCTTCACCTTTCTTTTACTCTCCATATACTCTGCTCTTCTTATAACACTTCTGCTTTGTAAAAACCTCTCGTAAGCTACCTTTTTCTCTTTTATCACACCTTTACTTCATCATTCCACCAATCACTCCTCTTTCCTCCTGCCCCCACCCTCCTATAACCACAAACTTCTGCCCCACATTCTAATACTGCATTTTTAAAACTATTCCAACCCTCTTCAACCCCCCCACTACTCATCTTTGCACTAGCCCACCTTTCTGCCAATAGTCGCTTATATCTCACCCGAACTTCCTCCTCCCTTAGTTTATACACTTTCACCTCCCTCTTACTTGTTGTTGCCACCTTCCTCTTTTCCCATCTACCTCTTACTCTAACTGTAGCTACAACTAAATAATGATCCAATATATCAGTTGCCCCTCTATAAACATGTACATCCTGGAGCCTACCCATCAACCTTTTATCCACCAATACATAATCTAACAAACTACTTTCATTACGTGCTACATCATACCTTGTATATTTATTTATCCTCTTTTTCATAAAATATGTATTACTTATTACCAAATTTCTTTCTACACATAGCTCAATTAAAGGCTCCCCATTTACATTTACCCCTGGCACCCCAAAATTACCTACTACTCCCTCCATAACATTTTTACCCACTTTAGCATTGAAATCCCCAACCACCATTACTCTCACACTTGATTCAAAACTCCCCACGCATTCACTCAACATTTCCCAGAATCTCTCTCTCTCCTCTACACTTCTCTCTTCTCCAGGTGCATACACGCTTACTATAACCCACTTTTCACATCCAATCTTTATTTTACTCCACATAATCCTTGAATTTATACATTTGTAGTCCCTCTTTTCCTGCCATAGCTTATCCTTCAACATTATTGCTACTCCTTCTTTAGCTCTAACTCTATTTGAAACCCCTGACCTAATCCCATTTATTCCTCTCCATTGAAACTCTCCCACCCCCTTCAGCTTTGTTTCACTTAAAGCCAGGACATCCAGTTTCTTCTCATTCATAACATCCACAATCATCTCTTTCTTATCATTTGCACAACATCCACGCACATTCAGACTTCCCACTTTGACAATTTTCTTCTTCTTATTCTTTTTAGTAATCTTTACAGGAAAAGGGTTACTAGCCCATTGTTCCCGGCATTTTAGTTGACTTTTACAACACGCATGGCTTACGGAGGAAAGATTCTTATTCCACTTCCCCATGGATATAAAAGGAAAAGTAATAAGACCAAGAACTATTAAGATAAAATCAAAGAAAACTCAGATGAGTGTGTATAAATAAACGTGTACATGTATGTGTAGTGTGACCTAAGTGTAAGTAGAAGTAGCAAGACGTACCTGTAATCTTGCATATTTATGAGACAGACAAAAGACACCAGCAATCCTACCATCATGTAAAACAATTACAGGCTTTCGTTTTACACTCACTTGGCAGGACGGTAGTACCTCCCTGGGTGGTTGCTGTCTACCAACCTACTACTCATACATATTGTATTTAAATGTATATAAAAGTAATTTGTTTAAGCAAATACCCTAATAACAGTAGAAAATATTACTGTGATGATGAGTGAGAAACTAGTGATGATACTGGAAACAGTAACACTGATAAAAAATTGAGAAATGGCAATGCTGATCAAAGTAGGAAACATGAAATTGATTAAAGTAAGAAATCATGCAATATGAATAGAGATCTTAAGCAAAAGATTTATTGTAGACCAAGTTTTACTCTGAATAAGCATTAAATCTAGTGAATGAAAGGCCAAAATCTAAGCTTATATCTGTCACAGCAGGGAAGAGAGGGAAATGTTAGGAGCCAGTCTAACTTGCAAGATCAAATGATATGAAGAAAAGAATAGTGCTTGCTTATGTCACTTTAAATAGTTGTAGTTAATCCAGTTGTAGTTTTGCAAGAGGTGAAGCCATGTTAAACACGTGTGATTCTGATTTATGCTGTCAATCATTTTTATTAGAATCTCAAAGCATTTTTACTATTTTAACTGTCTTCCTTTTGGTTTTATTCTATGTTATAACATTATGTTCTGTCATTATGAATTACATGTCTATCTTTGTCATGTGTGCAACAAGCATATCTGTGTTCTTGAATACTTGTGTTAGATGTTCCATATTTTTTTTCACATATAGTTTATTGCATCCCAGATAAGGAATGATGTAAATGTCTATACTGATCTCCCTGTTGCTGGTAATTTTTCTGGATATCCATAATTATTTTTTTTCTCCAGTCTGGCAGTCCCACTGTTGCTTGGCATGACTAAGCAGATGGTGATAACGGTGAATGCTTCTATTAAATACACTTTCATTTTTCCCAAATAACTTCTGGGTTCAGATTTTGTGGGCCTTGAGAAGGAAAATTCTGTCCCCACATTTGGTTTTTGTTGTATAATTACAAGTGTATCACATTAGTGGATTTTCTGAAAGTGGGAAACAGGATAATGGTGAAGGGGAAAAACAATGAAAGTTGAAAATGATGAAAATGAGAAAAATAAGCCTTAGTGATAGCAGGAAGTGGCAATGGTGATATACTTAGGATTTGTATTTTTGACAAACCAGCCATATCTTACCAAAGCAGGGTGACCCCCCCCCCAAAAAAAAGAAAATCAAAAGACTGTCTTTTTACATTTAGTAATTTATACAGAAGGGTTTACTAGCCCTTTGCTTCTGGCATTATAGTTGCCTCTTATGACACATGTGGCTTATGCATGTGTAGTGTGACCTAAGTGTAAGTAGATGTAGCAAGATATACCTGTTATCTCGCATATTTATGAGACAGAAAAAAGACACCAGCAATCTTACCATCATGAAGAACAAAAAGGCACAGTACCGTGACTGGAACAATACACAAATGTTTATGAGACATGTTTATGAGACAGAAAAAAGACACCAGCAGTCTTACCATCATGAACAAAAAGGCACAATATTGTGACTGGAACAATATACAAATAACCCGCACATAGGAGAGGCTTACAATGATGTTTCAGTCCGACTTGGACCATTTATAAATGGTCCAAGTTGGACCGAAAGGTTGTTGTAAGCTCCTCTCTCCTATGTGCGGGTTATTTGTGTATGAATCTTACCGTCATGTAAAACAATTACAGGTTTCCATTTCACACTCATTTTTTTAGGACAGTAGTACCTCCCTGGGTGGTTGCTGTCTCCCAGCCCAGATACTTAAGAAATGTGGTGATGAAACAGAAGTGGGAAATGGTAATAATGATAAACATGGGAAGCAGGGTAATCATTATGAAAGTATGACCTGGTGAAGGTAATTTAAGTAGAAAATTTTAATGGTGATAAAAGTGGGAAATGGTAATGATGATGAATTTAAGATAAGGTAATGATAGTAAAATGGAGATATGCTAATAATGATGAGAGTGAAATATGGTGAAGAATAAAATGGGACAAGGTAATGATAAGTAAAATGTGATACATTAATGTTGATGGAAGTTGGATAAGGTATATTGATAATATAATTTTCTAATACTGCACTGTATTTGCAGGTGATATTAATTCTGCACAGAAGATAATATTCAATTACCATCAAGTATGGAAACAATTTGGATTTACTCCAGAATTTTATAACATTCCACAGGTGAGAAATGTGTGAATTCATTGCAATATAATGAAATAAATTTTATTATTCCCTGTTTAATTTTTTTTTTTTTTTGTTTTTTTTTGCATATCAGTGAATTTTTTAAATACAGAGTGTGACACAAGGTACTTTACTGAGAATAATTGTATTTATATTTGACTACAATTGCTGACAATTGTTTTAATATGATGGTTGCAGTAGTAAGTTGGATAGCTTGCAGTTAAATAGAAAAATTAGTCTGTGTAGTGTTAAACCTTTTATTTGTGTTTTACATGGCTTCACTATGAATAGAATTTGATTACATTTGTGCCTCATTTGCTGACTCAAGACCAGCATTTTCTGATCAAAAAACAACATGGAAGCCATTCCTCACTGTCTCTAATCTCCACATCTAGCCATCCCTGTGACTTCCCTTTTTTTCACAAAAATAAAAATATCACTCAAGGGTCGGCATTGTAAAGATGCAGAGATTCAGCAAAATCACAAGCTGATGTAGACACCATTAGGAAAGATTAGTTCCAGAAATGTTTAGAGAAGTGGCAGAGGTACTGGGATCAGTGTACAGCCTCTCAAGGAGAGTACTTCAGGGAGACAACTTCAACTTGGTGATTAGGTAAGCCTATATATTTTTTTTCATGGCATTCCAGGAACTTTTTGATAACATTTTGTACATATATATATTATTCTTCTTTCAACAAACCAGCCATATCCCACAGAGGCAGGGTGGCCCAAAAAGAAAAACAAAAGTTTCTATTTTTAAATATAGTAATTTATACAGGATAAGGGGTTACTAGCCCCTTGTTACCAGCATTTTTGTCACCTCTTACAACACACATGGCTTACAGAGGAAGGATTCTTCTCCACTTCCCCATGGAGAACTTGCATACATACATTTTTTTATTTTTATTAACACACCGGCTGATTCCCACCAAGGCAGGGTGGCCCGAAAAAGAAAAACTTTCATCATTCACTCCATCACTGTCTTGCCAGAGGGGTGCTTTACACTACAGTTTATAAAACTGCAACATTAACACCCCTCCTTCAGAGTGCAGACACTGTACTTCCCATCTCCAGGACTCAAGTCCAGCCTGCCGGTTTCCCTGAATCCCTTCTTAAATGTTACTTTGCTCACACTCCAACAGCACGTTAAGTATTAAAAAACCATTTGTCTCCATTCACTCCTATCAAATACGCTCATGCATGCTTGCTGGAAGTCCAAGCCCCTCGCACACAAAACCTCCTTTACCCCCTCCCTCCAACCTTTCCTAGGCTGACCCCTACCCCGCCTTCCCTCCACTACAGATTGATACACTCTTGAAGTCATTGTGTTTTGTTCCATTCTCTCTACATACATATATGAAAAATTGATTGCTAAAAGCAGTAGAGTTTTTTAAGAGGAGAGTGAGGCTCAGGAGAGGAAAGGACTATTTTCCATTAATTAAAAGCAGATCTTAGTCACAGCTGTGTGACACCACCATGGTTGTGTAGTATATTTATAGATAGTATTGTAGAGGAAGTAACTGCAAGGGTGTTGAGAGGTGTGGCATTGAAAGATGATGAATCTGATATGAAGTGGAAGTTGTCAGGGTTGTTCTTTACCAGTGACAAGGCTCTTTTCAGAGATTCTTTAGACAAGCTGCAAGGGTTAGTGGATAAATTTGGAAGGAAAAGAAGGAATTTATAAATGATCATAGGAAATGGCAAGGTGATGGGAATAATAAAAAGCCTAGACAGTGAAAAATTAGTGGGAGTTAGTATGAAGGAAGCAGTTTTACAGTATATTAAGATATTGGATCTATGAAAAATGGGGTGAGTCATACAGTAGACGAGGGGTAAAAAGATAGGTGATGTGTTGAGGCACCTGCAGAAAGTGAATGTACCAGAATATAGTGGTACCAACACTTATGTGTGTGGCATGGGCTTGAAATGTTGCAACAAGGAGGCTAAAGGCACTAGAGATGACATGTTTGAGAGCAATGTATGATGCGAATATTATACAAAGAATTTGGAGCATAGAAATTAGATGATAGTGTGTTGGTTAGAAGTTGAGTGGTTTAGGCATTTAGAAAGGATGGGGTAGAATATGATAATTATGAAGGTTAATGAATCAGGCATTGAAAGGACAGAGGAGCAGAGGATCATCACAAAGAGTTGATGGGAGGGGGTAAAGAAGGTTTTGAGTGCTGGGGGCTTCAGCATCTGGCAAGCTTGTGTGGGCATTTCAAATTAGATTGAGTGGAGATTAATTTTTATGGCCTGACATCCCCTCAAGGAACATTGAAGGGCTGTTGATCCAAGGAACTCTACTTACCCTTTTCTTCCTTGAATCAGATCTGAATGCTTCCCATTCTGCAGGTGATATGCCCCCTATGGGTTTATTACTTTTATTATTCTTTCAACAAACCAGCCGTATCCCACCGAGGCAGGGTGGACCAACAAGAAAAACCATTAACTTTAGTAATGTATACAGGAAAAGGGGGTTACAAGCCCCTTGCTCCTGGCATGTTAGTTCCCTCTTACGACATGCATGGCCTACGGAGGAAGAATTCTGTTCCACTTTCCCATGGAGAATATTATTATTATTATTATTTTTATTTTTCAACACTCTAGCCATCTCTCAGTGAAGTAGGGTGACCCAAAAAAGAAAGAAACACTTTCACCATAATTCTCACATAATCACTGTCTTTGCAGAGGTGCCCAGATATGACAGTTTAGAAGTCACTAAACAGCCAATATCCCAAACCCCTTCTTGAAAGTGTAGGCATTGTACTTCCCAACTCCTGGCTAACTGGTTTCCCTGAATCCTTTCACAAAATATTACCCTGCTCACGCTCCATCAGCTTGTCAGGTCCCAAAAAGCATTCGTCTCCATTCACTCCTATCTAACATGCTCACACATGCCTGGTGTATGTCCAGGCCCCTTGCACACAAAACCTCTTTTACTTCCTTCCTTTCTTAGGATGACTCCTACCCCTCCTCCCCTCTACTACAGATTTATACACCCTCAAAGTCATTCTCTTTTGCTCCATCCTCTCTAAATATAATAATAATAATAATAATAATAATAATAATAATAATAATAATAATAATAATAATATCTTTATTTCTACAAGTACATGTACAAGGTACACAGGCCTAGCTGACACCACTGACATACTGCTATATAGAAAGCCGCTTCTTATGCAGAGCATTTAGGACAAATTAGGTGAATTTTGTCACAGAATGCCACCCACACCAGTCGCCTAACACCCAGGTACCCATTTTACTGATGGGGAAAATAGACAACCGGTGTAAAGAAAACTGATGGGGAACATAGACAACTGGTGTAAAGAAACACACCTGATGTTTCTACCCATGCCGGGAATCGAACCTGGACACTCGCTGTGTGAAGCGAGAGTTGTAGCCACCAGGCCACGGGGCAAACCGCCTCAGTAACCCCTCTTCAGCCCTCTGAACAGTGATATTTTTTGTAACTCCACACCTCCTCCTAATTTCCACACTACGAATTCTCTGCATAATATTTATACAACACAGTGCCCTTAGTCGTGACATCTACACTGCCTCCAGCCTCCTCCTCATTGCAGCAATCACAACCCATACTTCACACCCATATAAGAGTGTTGGTACCACTATACTCTCATACATTTCCTTCTTTGCCTCCATAGATAATGTTTTTTGTCTCCATAGACACCTCAAAGCGCCACTTGCCTTTTTTCCTTCATCACTTCTATGCTTAATCTCATCCTTCATAAAACCATCTGCTGACAAATCTACTCCCAAATAACTGAACACATTCACTCCTTCCATACTCCCTCCCTCCAATGTGATATCCAATTTTTCTTTGCCTAACTCTTTTGATACCCTCATCACCTTATTCTGATCTATGTTCACTTTCAACTTTATTTACACACCCTCCCAAACTCTTCCACTAACCTTTGCAGCTTCTTTTTTAGAATCTCCCAAAAGCACAGTATCATCAGGAAAAAGTAACTGATAACTCCCATTTTATATTTCTTTCTTTCAACAAACCAGCTGTATCCCACCAAAGCAGGGTGGCCCAAAAAAGAAAAAAAAGTGTCTTTTTTTTTAACTTGAGTAATGTATTCAGGAGAAGGGTTTACTAGCCCCTTGGTCCCGGCACTTTAGTGGCCTCTTACATCATGCATAGCTTATAGAAGAATTCTGTTCCACTTCCCCATGGAGAATTTTGTATTTGATTCCTCATAATTTAATCCCATCCCTATCTCCAACACCCTAGCATTTACTTCTTTTACAACTCCATCTATAAATATGTTAAACAACCATGGTAACATTTCACACCTATCTAAGGCCTACTTTTACTGGAAAGTAATCTCCCTCTCTCCTGCACACCCTAACCTGAGCCCCACTATCCCCATAAAAACTCTTTACAGTATTTAGTAACTTACTACCTATTCTATACATTTGCAACATCTGCCACATTGTTCCCCAATCCACCCTATCATATGACTTTTCTAAATTCATAAATGCAATGAAAACATGCCTACCTTTATCTAAATATTGTTCGCTTATATGCTTCAATGTAAACACTTGATCTACACATCCCCTACACATTCTTAAGCTTCCTTGTTCATTTGCAATCATGCTCTCTGTTTTATCTGGTATACTCAGTAAACTTGTTCCTCTATGACTCACGAAATCGTAATGACATGATTGCAAACAAACCATACCACGGGCGGGGATAGAACCCGCGATCAGAACTTGATGGTCTGGAGTTTTGAGACTCTCTGATCGCGGGTTCTATCCCTACCCGTGGTATGGTTTGTTCCTGTATAATTTTTACAATCTCTTTTGTCCCCCCTTTCCCTTATATAAAGGAATTATACATGCTTTCTGCCAGTCCCTAGGTACCTTCCCCTTTTTCAAACTTTTATTGAACAAAAGTACCAGCCACTCTAACACTATATCTTCCCCCTGCTTTTAATATTTCTGTCATGATCCCATCAGTTACAGCTGCTTTA